ATTTATCCAATATTAAAAAAAAAATTCGGTTCTTATTCGGTTCTGGGTCTAGAACCGAGAACCGAACTGAACCATTCGATTCTCGATTCGGATACCCGTTCGGGTATTTCATTTTAAAAAACCCGTTCAATTGGTTCGGTTCAGATATTTTGCCCAGCCTTACGTCCAAGAACATTGGGAGAGTTTTACTTGGTAGATGGAATCAGTAGTCATATTTTCTGTAAAATGAGGATGTTAAAAAAGGAATAAAAAGGGTCATTAGCGCATAACGCTCCTACTTTTCACTATTATTGTGAAAAACGTCTCTACCTTTCATTTTTTGACATTTACATCCTTAATTACACATTTGATTGCACAAACGGTCCTTATCACCACCAAATACACTTGCAAATAAAACAATGCAGGTTGCAAATTGAAGCTGAAACACTATAAGCAGGTAGAGAAACTGTGTACAAAGGTTTGCTCAGCTAGATAATTGATTTCTTTTAATTGCATTTTTAAATCATGGATTTCATTCGTTAAATGAGGAAAGTGCGTCAAGATTTTGGAACTCGAGAGTACAAATGTGAAAGCATTTCACATAAGGGCTCAAGCATACAAGAGCATGGCCGATCTGGATTTGCCGTAATTTGATATTTTAGAGAAATAAGTGAAAGAGAAAATATGTTCAAATGGGAAAGAAAGAGAAAATTTAACGAGAATATCCTTCACTTGATAGGGAAATTGGATGAAAATAATATTTTGCACAATCAAATGTGTAATTAAAGGTGAAAATGCCAAAATATGAAAGGTAATGATGTTTTCCACATTAATAATGAAAGATAGAGATGTTATATACTAATTACCCGAATAAAAAAGTTTCTGATTGCTTGTTGAATATTATTTAGTTTAGCTTAATCTATGGTATTGATTGTTCTGTAAAGGGTAATTAGCACGTAACGTCCTTACTTTTCACTATTATTGTGAAAAAATGTCATTATCTTTCAATATTTGGTATTTTCAACTTTATTTCCACCTTTCATTGAGCAAGATATCATTTTCATCCATTTTCTCAATTAAAAATTATGAAATGACGAATATACACTTCTATTTAAATATTTTTTTTTAAAAAAAAGAAAAAAACTAATTGCAATCATGGTTGCAATCATTTTTAAAAAATGAAAATGAGTTCCAAAAAATTATTTAAAGGGTAATTGGTACATAATGTCCATACATTTCACTATTATTACGAAAAACGTACATATATTTCATTTTTTTAGCAATTTCACCCTTAATTGCGTATTTGATTGCGCAAATCATCATTTCTATAAGTTTTCATCAAATTTTTCAATAAAGAGTTTTGAAATGATGAATGTGCCTTCTTATTTAAATAAAAAAAATAATTAAAAATATAATTTTCTTTTTAATAATTTATTCGGGTTTCGTTTGTGCTTTTTAATCTTTTTTTTTAAAAATATATAATTTTTAATAAATTTAATTGGTACTCGCTTGCACTTCTTTTGTAAAAAATAATTTCTAATTTTTTAATAATTTATT